CGGCTCCGGCTGCATGTCCCTGGGAGCTGGCTGCAGTGCACGGCACAGCCAGGCCCCGCCACGCCACACCAGCTCCAGTCCTGCCACAGCCCCAACCCCCTCGTCGGCAAGAGACCGCTCCCTGTTGACCGCCCAGCTCGCTGCGCCTGCCCTGGGCCCCTTTGTCTCCATGCTGCCCGTTCCCCACGCCGCTCCTGCTCCCCTGCACCCCGGACTCCCTGCTTTCCCTCTTCCCTGTGACTCTCTGGGTCTGCACTGCCCTTGCGCCCCGCACCCTGCTCCCCCCGACCTCTGCCCCCCCAGCTCTGTGCTGCCTGTTCCCTGCACTGCCCCTAGACTGCGATCCCTCTGCCCCTCCTGTTCCCCACATCCCATTCCCCGTGCTTCAACCGCACCCCTCACCCTGCTCCCCCCGATCCCTGTGTCCCTCTGTGCCTCCCATTCCCTGCGCCACCCCAGTACTCTCCCACTGTTCCCTGCACCCCTCTGGCTCTGTGCTGTCCCTGCACCCTGCTCCTGCTGTGGGTTGGGAGTGAAGGGTGCTTGCCCATAGGGAGGGGCTGGACAGGGCAGGGAAGAGGCTGCTGTGACCCAGCAGCAGTGAAAGGGGGAGTTCACTTGATGCGCCTTTGCCTTTATGGAAAAAAACAAATGAAAATGCTATTTGCTATTAATGGGGCTAAAATGCCAGGACAAAAATGAAAACAAACAAAAAAAACCCATTGCAACATGTAAATGTGTAAAAGACAACAACAAAGTGAGGGGTGGGGTGGGCAAAAAATGTTTTGCTAGGGGCAGCAAAAAACCTAGAGCTGTCCCTGGGGGAAGGGAAGGAGCTGGGGGGAGGGGAGGGGAAAATATGGGGAAGGGGCTTGTGCTGAGGGGAGGAGGTCAGGAGAAGAAGAAGAAGAAAGGGGAAGGCACCAAGGGACAAGGGTTCAGGAGAGACAAATCCCAGGGGGCCAAGTGCAGACAATGAGGAAAAGGGCAGGAGGGGAGGTGTCAGTGGGAGGGGGACAGGGTGATGCTGGGAGAGGAGAGGGTAAGGGCACTGGGGGCTAGAGGGAGGAGGGGGAGGTGCTGGGAGAAGGCTTGAAAGAAGGGGTGGGCATGAGGAAGGCGGGGATGGAGCAAGGCATGTGTAAGGGCACAGGGGCATGAGGGAAACGGGGGCAGAGGGTGGTGAGTATCAGGAAAAAAGAGAGCAAAGGGGGCAGGGGCAGTAAGGGAAGGGGGAGGCACCAGGAGGGTACAGGTGCCAGGGGATTCTGGGGGTGAAGCAGAAGGGCAGACACCTGCAGAGGAGGGACCAGCACCAGAGGAGAGAGGCAGGGCAGGTGTGTAGAGGGAGGTGTTAGGAACTGGGATGAGGAGGGGTAGCTCACATGAGCAGAGTGGGGTTACTGGACGAGTGGGCACAGGGGGGAGAGAAGGGCTGATGGACGGGGGCAGGTCTCAGGAAGGCTGAGGGCAGTGAGAAGGGCAGGAGTCAGGACAGCAGAGGAGGGTGAGGGGTTGGGGGGCAGCAGGCACCAGGGGAGCTGATGGAGCAAGGGGAGGAGACATGGCAGCAGAGGGAAAAGGTAGAGGTTTATAAGATATTTATTAATAACTTGGGTGATATTCATGAATAACTTATTAGTAATTACTGTTCTTATTCTTATTAGGAATTTATGCAATTAAAAAACACTTTTTGGGGGGAGGGAGAGTGGCGAGTCCCTTTTTTGTTTGGCGAGTAGGGTTTTCCATAATTTGTCGAGCCCTGCTGATAAGAATTCATGAGATTAATTGACTATTCAATTAACCAATATTTAACATCCCTATTCCCAGCCTTAGAACATCTGTATTGTTGAAGGTGATATTTTTCAAGTGAGATGTAAATCTTACATCCTTCTGACCTCTTCTGCTGAATACTAATCCTCAGCTGGCTTCATTTAAATAAATCTGTTAACTCATTAAGGGTAACCACTATTTCAAACCAAACTCAGCTAGGTTTGAACTGACTCATATCTGACTCCCTTTTTACACAGCAGTTTTGCAGTTCAGCAGTAGAACTATAAAACAGATTGCCCTGAATGGAACTCACTATGGGTGTGTCTACGCAGCAAAGTTATTTTGGAATAACGGCTGTTATTCTGAAATAATAATGCGAGCATATACACAGCAATTCTGTTATTTTTAAATAATTTTGAAATAACAGACAGCTTATTCCAGCTTCTATAACCCTCATTCTACAAAGAATAACGCCTATTCTGACAGCTATTTCGAAATAAGGCGTGTGTAGACGCTCCACTATTGCTATTTCAAAGCTATTCTTCCCGGGGCTCTAAATTGAGATTGCACGTCTACATTAGGGAAGCCCGCCTCAGACTAATTTTGAGGCTCCCTGCAGTGTAGACGTGCTATTTTGAAATAAGCTATTTCGGAATAACTATTCTGGAATAACTTATTCCGAAATAACTGTGCAGTGTAGACATAGCCTATGATGGGAAAGATAGACAAGGCTGATTTTTAAAAATAGAATTAACTGGTCCCTGCTTATTGGTATCTATGGTATTCTGACAGCCATACAAGGCAGAGAATATATTCTGACATCTATTGCTCCTGTCAACATATCAAATAGCTCAAGTGCCTCAGACATTTGGAATTTACCACAATAGGAAATCTTCTACATTGGAAGAGATTGCCCTTCCTTTGTAGCTGTTCCTAATGGTATCTCTAAGACAGGGGTGGGCAAAAGGGCCTCCGCAGGCCCTGCTGCTCCCGCACCCTGAGGCCAATCAGGGCCTGGGATGTGGGGAAGTGCATGAAGTTTCCTTTGCCTTGCCCGTCCTGCCAGGGAGTATGGGGCGCTTAGAAGTGCCATGCATTCCTGGCAGGGCAGGAGGAGACTTTGCGTATTCCCCCACCCCCAAGGCCTGATTAGCCTGGGGGCAGAAAGGGGATCACACAAAGACTCCTCCCACCACCAGGGCATGGGTGGCTAGGGGAACTTTTTTGGGGGGATGGAGGAAAGGCTTCACGTGCTCCCCCGCTCCCAGACCAATCATGGTCTGTGTGTGGGGAAACAGGAAACATCTTGGGCCCGCCCCTTCAAAATTTTTGAAGTGGCCCCGGGTAAAAAATTATTGTCCACCCCTTCTCTGGGACAATATCAGCAGCTCTTTTGATTTAGATTGGGCTATGAGACCAGTAACACATTTTCGATGGATTGAAGAAAGGAAATTGTAAAAGCCTATTACAAAACTGCAGAAAGAGGGGCAGATTTTAATGAAGTAAACTGGAGTAAAGTAAATTTGGAGTTATTTGCATCCTGAAGAACCAGAATTAGTCTCCTGGAATCCAAGGTGTCACAGAAAATGCGTGGTATAATACGGAATGCTCCTGAGTTGCCCAAGTTCTAGGTTAAATGCCCTATCCACTATACTGTTTATCCCCAATACATTAATCATTTAGATCTTTTTCATAAAGTAGCATTTCTCTCTTCTTAATAAATTATCATAAAATATCACTTACTTCAACTCCTGAGGGACCTGGTGGCCCTATTGGGCCTTGGAGCCCTGGCAATCCAGGTGTACCCTATATATAAAAAAAAGGGAGCCATTAGAAAGAGATACTTATTAGGCAATATAATGATGATTATATATGTTGTCTGGCTATGCTGAAAGAAGGACAGGAGACACCTGAAAGGGGATCAGCTCCCTGCCATGGCCATCATTGGAGCTCCAAACCGCTCTGTCTCCCATTCCACTCCTCTAACCAACACCTCTTTTTTAAGTTCTTTACAAAGCCATATTATCCAGTCACTGTATCCCCTCCCAATGGAGGACCCTCCTTGGACATCTACCTCACATTTATGCAATGAGGTGTAACATGTAGCCCTACACCCTTCACACCTAACGTCAATAAAACCCTCCCTGAACCCAGTGTGGAGAAGGCAAAAAAATTACTACTCCTCCTAGGCCAATCTGATGGTGAGGGAAAATATTCCTCCCATCCCCCCTGAAAAGGAATAGGTACTGTGATACTTACAATGGGATCAAACTTGGCATTTTGCCACCTCAAAGGGAGGGACAGTGGGTGCTTTCCCCCATCCCTGGGAAAAGAGATTCTCCTGCCTGGGCTTGTCTCCTTTAAATTCCTCAGCTCTTCCAGGGCTATGACACCATGCTCATCCTCTCTCCTTTTGCAGCAGTCTCTCTCCCCTCCCTCTTCCCCTCAACCTTCTCATAAAGCACTGCTCTCTCTCCTTTGGCAAGCCAGGCAACTGCCCTCCCTCTCCCCTCCACATACTTAAAGGTGTGGTGGATCAGCATAGTTAAGACTTACTGGTAGTCCAGACTGGCCAGGAAAACCTTTTTCACCTTTTAGCACATCCCATGGTACTTGCCCAATTACTTCACCCGGGTCTCCCTATCATGGGAGAAGAAAAAAATAAAGGTGAATTATATATACTTACATAAATAAAAACATCAATTCCATACCCCTGACATTAAGGTTGAAGAAAAGACCTAACATAATAGCTACACGGCCCTTTGGAATCATTTGGGAAAATCACAAAATGGCCGGCCTTTTACATATTTTAATTGATTTAAACATATCACAAGGAAGCTGTTGTAGTCCTTAAAAGCCTTTCAGTGTCAGGTATCCTTGAAATACTCAGTAAATATTCCAGTGCCAATTTTCTATTTGCCCCTTACATTCCACGTATTTGTGGGGAAATCCCACAGGTTGCCATTAAATTTAAGTCCATCCAATCTAAGTATCTGGTCTGTCTGTTCCTTTTATAGGCAAGGATCCTCCTTCTCAGGCTATGATCTCTAGCCAGTTCTACAACTTTGAGGCTGTGATAATCCCCATGACCACAGCACAGCACCCCACCTCTACATGGGCTCTAGAAATGGTGAACCAGTGTAGTTACACATACACCAGAATTGACCCTCATTCAACCTACTTTATCTCCAAAACCTCTCTGAGGTTAAAATGGAACTGTGTAATGTGGCATACAGAGGAGGAAAGGCACAACCTGCATGGCCTCCATGAACCCAGCCCCATCCTGTCCTGTTCAACCATACCAGTTGTGCTGAATCCATAAACCTCCATGATTCAAGAAGGATTTACATGCTAGTACTGACTGAACCTCTCAAATCTGGAACTCTCTGGTCCAGCAACACAGATGTTGCTTGACCAAAGAGCACTGGAGGCAGCAGTGGGAGACAACATGGGGGTTGGTGAGCGCAGGTGGGACCAGCAGCGGCTGGGCCAGACAGCAGCTGGGGAGCCCCTGACCTGGCCAAGGAACCCCCAATGTCAACAGGGCCAGGTATGGCTGGGGAGCCCCTGCTCCAGCAGGGGAATCCTCGGTGTCAGCTGGAGGAGATGGCTGGGGAGTCCCGGACCCAGCTGAGGAACTCCCAGCTGCAGAGGAGCTGCTGGTAGTGGGAGGCCCATCCAGGGAACCTCTGGCAACTGCAGGGCCAACAGTGGCCAAGCGGCCCCTCCTGGAACCCTGGGAAACCCCCAGTAGCAGTGGGGCCCGAGTGACTGGGGAACCTCGGGGAACATCCTGTGACAGTGGGACTGCAGCGGCCAGGTGGTCCCAGCTGGGAGCTTTGAGGGACACTGAGGCAGCCTGCGGGCAGCAGCATGGGGAGCCCTTTCTGATCCAGCATTAGAGGAGCCAGGGCAGAGCAGGGAGCCCCAGGAAGAGAAACCCAGGAGCAGGCAGTCAACAGGGAAGCACTGACCTCCCCTTGTCTGGCAAATTCCCTGGTTTGGGACAGCTCAGGTCCCCAGGGTGCTGGACTAGGGAGTTCCAACTTGTAGAGTTTTTCATTACACTCCAGATTCTAAAAGTAGTCCATTGGAAATGAAAACAGTAGAAGTTCCTACTCAATATAAGTAACGGTGGCAAAATCTTACCATATGATAAACTGGTACACAACCTTCCCACATATGGGCTCAGTTTTGTCAACATTACTCATATCAAGTAGCATAGTTCCCACTAAGGTGCGCACCAGCGTGGCCGCGCACAAACAATTCTTCCCTGCCCACCTCCCATGGAGACCGCATTACTCCAGCAGGTGGAGCCAGCTGAGAAGGTGAAGGAACCACTGAGGTAGGGAGCCAGGACTTGCTGCAGCCATGTGGCAGGGAGGAAGGCCTGCTCCGGTGGTCAGGGCTGCCACGTAGTAGGGAGGTCAGGGCCTGTTCTGATGGATGGGAACGGAATGCACCACATGGTGGTGGAGGGGGGGGGGGTTCTACTCCGATGGACAAGAAAATGCGTGTGTTAATAAACTGGGTGCCACAATGGCACTCATCCAAACCAGAGCACATGTCCTCAATATTGGTGCACAAGCCAAAACTCACTGCACCCATGGTTGGAAAATCTTAGAGGGAACACTGACAAGTAGTACTTTATTTGGTTTCAAATGGACTACTTAGAATCATAGACCTGTAGGACTGGAAGGGATCTGGAGAGTTCCTCTTAGTTCCATCCCCAGCACTCAAGGCAGGAATAAGTATTATCTAGATCATCTCTGATAGGTATTTGTCTAACCTGTTGTTAAATATCTCCAGTAATCCACAGGTACGGGACAGAGGAGTGTGGGGGGTGTTATAGCACTCCCTGGCTTGAAGTGGTTTCTATTATATACAGGGTTTAAATGGCTCTCAGCACCCACACTATAAAAATTGTTCCAGGCCCCCTGCAGTGATGCAGAGTTCACAGACCTCCCTGCGTCAATTTATTCCATTGCTTAACCACCCTGACTGTTAGGAAGTTTTTCCTAATGTCCAATCTAAATGTACTTTGCTGCAATTTAAGCCCATTGAGTCTTGTCCCATCCTCAGGGTATGTCTACACTACAAAGTTAGTTCGAACTAACTTAGTTCGAATTAGTTAATTCGAACTAAGCTAGTTCGAACTAACGCATCTAGAACTAAAAACTAGTTCGAACTAGCGTTTTGCTAGTTCGAACTAGTAAGTCCACATTGAGTGGACTCTGAACAGGGCTTAAGGATGGCCGGAAGCAGTGCCGGCAGGGCATAAAAGGAGGACTTAGAGCATGGAGATACTGTCTCAGGCTAGCCGAGGGCTGCGCTTAAAGGGTCCCGACCCCCACCCCGGACACACAGTTCTAAGGGGTGCCCCGCTTGCAAAGAAGTTCTGGCTTGGAGTGCCCTGAGTGCCCACACTGGGCACATCACACCACTCGGCCATCAGCCCGGCTGCACTTGCCGCAGGCTGCCATCTGGGGAGAGGGAGTAATTGGGGGGCTGCAGGAGAGCTTCCACCCCCAGAAGCCCGCAGAGCCAGCCCAGTCCTCCCCATCGGGGGCTCGTACCCCATTCCTCCCTCACCTCCTTCCACTTACCCTTCCCTAGCCCCCCTTCTTATTGATGTACAAAATAAAGATAACGTTTCTTCCAACATTGACTCTGTCTTTATTGAAAAAAACTGGGGGAGACTGGGAAAAGGAGGTGGGAGAGGGGAAGAGAAAGGCTGGGAGAGGGGAGGGCAACTAACATGATCAGGGGTTGGGAACAGGTCCCAGATGAAGAGAGGCTACAGAGACTGGGACTGTTCAGCTTAGAAAAGAGGAGACGGAGGGGGGACAGGATAGAGGTCTCTAAAAGCAGGGGTTGGGTGGAGAGGGTGCATTCAGAAAAGTTCTTCATGAGTTCCCATAAAGAAGGACTAGAGGACACCAAAGGAAAGGAATGGGTAGCAGGCTTGAAACTAGTAAGAGAAAGTTGTTCTTGACAAAGCAAATAGTTAACCTGTGGAACTCCTTGCTGCAGGAGGCTGTGAAGGCTACAACTAGAACAGAGTTTAAAGGGAAGTGAGATCAAGTCATGGAGGTTGGGTCCATGGAGTCCTATTAGCCAGAGGGTAGGAGTGGTGTCCCTGCCCAAAGTTTGTGGAAGGCTGGAGAGGGATGGCACGAGACAAATGGCTTGATCACTGTCTTCGGTCCATCCCCTCCAGGGTCCCTAGGGTTGGCCGCTGTTGGCAGACAGGCTACTGGGCTAGATGGACCTTTGGTCTGACCCAGTACGGCCATTGTAAGCTCAGGGCTCAGGGTCGGGGGTCTCAGTGGACCCCCTTGATTTTCATGCACACCTGGTCCTGGGTGGCCAGGCTGGCAGCTCTCCTGCCCTAGACGGCCACTTTCCTGTGCCTAGTGCAGAGATCGTGGACAAGGTCCATTATGTCTGCACTAGCCCAGGAAGGTGCCCACTTCTTGCGGTCCTGGGCAAGCTCCCGGGAGCCGCCAGCCTGGGCCTGGGGAGAGGG